GTGCGCTAATTTCAACTTTTTGTTTGTGCCCTCCCCATAAGACATTTCTAAATACGCCCCTGCGTACAGCCGGTATATAAAGACCTGATGCAGCAATTAGTTAACTACCAAAAAATTGAGTTTATTATATTTATCACATTTCCATAAAACTGAAATTGTAAATGTATAGGTACATGTTAACAATATTAGTTTATTATTATTACATTTTGATATGGCCTTTGAGTAAAAGATGTTGCATGAGTAGGGGTATAGACGTATACAAAGGTTACTTTAATTTTGAAAATGCATTAGTGCACTAATCTTTATACGCGCAACACAAATTCAATACATTTAAACATCGAAACTAATAAATGGGTATCTAATAATAGGTATGTAATAAGTAGAGTTGGAAATTATATTAAAATATAGGTAATAAAGTATAATATAGGTATAAATATAGGTATATTTAAATATTAAATATACCTATGTAAAATTGGGTTGTTTGGGTACCGAATTACAACAAAATGATAACCGTTATTCTTTGTGTTAATATGAAATTTTGTCCAAATTTTAACTTAAAATGTATATAAAAATGACTGCATTCATATATTTTTTAAATTCTTTAGTTATTAAAAAAACTATTTTAAACCTTGTTTTAAATTTTCAATTCTTAGCTATAAAAATTGAACATTTTATACATATTTAAAGATAAAATCATTTTCAATTTTCAACTTGATAAATATTGTCAAAATTTGAAATTTAAATGCTTATAAAAAAAAATCATGCCTATGTATTTTTAATATTTTTCAGCTACTATTGAGAAGATACATCAACAGTCGTGTATTAAATTGTCATGCTTTTTGACCCAACCAATACAATTTTATTGACATATTTTGTAGAAAAAAAAATAAAAAAAGAAGTGAAATGTCCGTCAACAGCCTAAAACAAGTCAAAATATTTTGAACATTTTATCAAGTTCAAATGGATTGACGAAATAAATATTTGGTGTAAATTTCAGTTGACTTAAAACAAAATAAGAAAATCTCTACTAGAGAAATCCAGTGAATATCCAATGTTGTAAAAATTTCAACTTAAACGCTCATAAAAATTTAATTTGACTTTCCGGTAGAAAGTGCTTCAATTTTCTTCAACAGCAATTTTCTGGTAGAAAAGTGAATCTAATTGGTGCATTTGGGAGGTCATATTTTAAAATTCCCTATAGTTTTCAAAAGCGACAGAAAAAACAAGCAGCAAATTAAGGAAAACTGGAATTTTTAAGCAAAACTAGTTTTCGAAAAAATCGATGTTGGTTTTTAGTGCAACTCCAAAAAAATTGACAGTGTATACATGCAATTTTCACTGAATATTTGTGTTAGCATTTTCTATACACAATCAAATTTATTCAAAATATTTTGACTTGTGTTGAACTATTTATAGGCATACGAAAATTTCGAAAATTTCGAATATTATTTGTTTTTTTTAAAACTAATTTCGATAAAAATTTTGTCGCTCAGACAAAAAACTTGTAAATGTATTACAAGATTCCTCGTAAGTTGTTCTTAATGTCAATTTAAAAAAGCAGTTTAGCTTAAATACACAATAATTTTTTATGAGTGTTTTAACTTAGAATTTTGACAAAAATTGGGTTATACAAATATGTTTATCTTATCAATAATTCATATACTTGATAACATTTTAAAAATGTTTTGATATGAAATTTGTATAGCTAAGGATTGAAAATGTGCGACATCTATGCTTGGGTCGCTTGTTTAGCATTTCGGACGATTTTTTGTAATTTATAATTCTATATGATCACTACGATGAATAATTAAATAGACAATAAATTGCACGATTATATAGATGACTATTTTTAAACAGTTTCTCGCGTATGCATGAGTATGTAATACATAATAAGTAATACAAGCTAACCTTATAATATAATATTATATATATATTATAGATATGTGATGAGTTGTGGAGTTACACTATATGTACGCCCCAGTAAAGTTTCGTTGCCTGTTTACGCCTATACGCGTATTTAGGGAGAAATCATTTTCCATTAAATGACAGTTATTATATACTTAATTTTTAAATATTATGTTTTTTTTTTAAATAAATGTATTCATATTAATAACTTAAGATTTTAGATTTCAAGGTAGTAGAAATCTAATGTAATTTAAAATTTACTTGGCTCGCTTATTATTATTTATTAATAATAAGCAACATTATTAAACACTTCAATATTTAACAATTTAGAATTATATAATATCAACAAAATATATTAATTAATTACAAATTAGTATACAAATCGTATAATAACAAAAAAAAAATTTAATACTCAGTAAATAATCGTTGTAATTATAAAAACTTCATAATGACTTAACTATAGTTCCATTTTACGGATGTTTCATACAATTAAAGAACTTCTTGATACAGTGATGAGAATAATGGGTTTTAAGACAATGTTTCTATGGTATTACTTTTTCATTACATGAAAATCACTTATAAATTATAAGTTATAATCATAATTGAAATGTCTGAAAACACGAAATATCGTGGTACCTACCTACTTAATAGATATTATTACAGAACAAAACTTTTGAACGCGTGCCCATCGATATTTCACACGATCCTCATGCATGTTTTGTCAATACAAATTCGTCAATTCGCATTTCCGGAAGGAACGCTTTCAGTCTTACTGCCTGTGATCTTGTTTACTTCGAACATGCTAAAATACAAAAAATAATAATATTATAAAAACCAAGTTTTTATATTATATTTTTATATTTTTACATTTTTAGAAACTATTCGTGTCATAATCATAAATAGCATTTATTATTTGTTTGTACTACTTTCACGGATTAAATAAAGTTTTATTTAATCTGTGCTTTTATGTTGAGTTATGATCTGAAAGATGAAACAGTTAATAAACTGTATAGAAAAAAAGTCAGAGAAGGGTCATTTGGTGTATAAATACAATTAATACATTTATTGCAATTGGTATTAATTATTTTATGTACAATCAATACAATTTAATGCTTTAATAAAAATGTGTAACTAAAAAAATCTTCATAGTTCGTTTTTTTGTAGATCGATAGATTTTAATCGTGCTAATTGTTATTGCTTCAAATCGGTATCTGACAATGATGTAAAAAGAGAAAGATATAAAAAAATAGAAAAATAGAGAAATATTACCTATCGCAATATACCAAAGTTATTTTTTTCGTTGGAATTTGATTTTTAAACAGTCCAGTGATGCGTAAGAATACATATAATATTATACATTTTCTACCACGTGAATAACGTTCATTATTATTATTGTATTACGAAAAACGCGTTTGTCCGTGTGGCGTGCCGCGTTATATTATAATATACTCAGCGCAACCTGTTGGCCGCGTTAATTATCAGTTTCCACGCGGACCCAGGTACATAATATAATATAATTGGAATTTACCTGGTACCTGTATAATATATATTTATAATTATTCATGCGGCCGTGCGCGCGTGCGTGCCATCATATGCATATAGGTATAGGTAGGTATTATTATATTATATACACGACGCCGCGGTGGAGAGATAGGTCGGCCGTGGTCGGGGGGGCGACGATCGGTGGGTAGGGGGGTGACCGGGTGGCGCCGGCGGTGGGCAATCCGGACAAAATGGCCGACGTCGTATAATGTATACAATATAATAATAACGTATACACACGCGCATATATACACAATATTATTATTATTATTACATACGACCGTCGGATATATTATAGCCGTGCCGTATCAATACATATTCATATAAATTATACATTAGATAAGCAGGTATACTAGGTATAGATGTATATAAGCAGTAAGCACATATATATATATATATGGTTTATATATCGCGCACGGGATGTATATAAGTACCTATAGGTATAAGGCTGTGTGTGTATATATTCTGTGTCGGCTGTCGTAGGACTTTGATGTAAACGTTTGATGCGGTTAATCTCGCGCACGGTACATGTAGCTGGATAATGCAGCGCTATATTACGAAGGTAGGTAATACCGGCATTTCCGCAAAATGGCGAAATCCAATCGTATTGGTGATTATTAGTTATTAACGTCTGGTGCCTACCTAGAAATTATAAACTCATCAATCGTACGTAACGTCGGCAGCAGATATACAGTAAACGACTTCTATCTGACTTCGGTCATAGCCGCGGATGAGTCTCGAAAACGAAGACTATTATGGGTCTTATTGCGACGCATGCGAAAAACGCGCAGGTGTGGATATTAATTAGATATTTTACATAATATACCTCTACATGTGTACATATATATATATATATATATATATACACACACACACGCACACGGGGTTAAGGATAAACTATTCCTAATAGCAGACCCCGCTTATGGAGAGGCATACCAGTGAGGTTAGGTATAACAGTTCCGGTAAATTAATTGAATTTTATTTGAATTCTAAACATACCTATTCATGTTCTGCAGTATACTTAGAATAAGCATTATAACGTTTAAATTATAAAAAAGTTGATCTTTGTATCACAAATCGGTAATTTTCTCAATTGATTAAAAAGTAAAAAAATAGTACTTAATGCATACATAGCGGTACTCATAACTTCAAGAAAATTGTAGAATTTTTAAGACTTGAGATTTTGTAAAACATATTATGTTTTCAAAAACACTCGTTCAAGTATATTTCTCTGTACATTTTCACTGAGAAAATGACTGCTTCGTGCGATGAAAAAATCGCCTTGTTGGTAGGTATATAAGTATATATAGTGATGGTCATGTCACGTAAAATAATCATTATTTTTGAGACTTAATTCTTTTAATATACCTATGCTTTATATAACTATAATGATGCTATTTGAATAATATTGTTACGCACCCATATTATTCGCGGTTATAGTTAATAGGAAAAACAGCGGCAGAAAGAGAACAGCTTAGATCAGTGGCGTGGTGAGGCGGTTTTTTTTGAGCCACGGCTCCGTTGATTTTTGGTGGTGGTGGTGGTGGTGGTGGTGGTGGTGGTGTCGGCGGAGGCAGATTTGTAAAATGTATTGCTTCTAATTTATGAATACAATACACATGAGTTGAGCCGTTGAGGTATCACCAAGTATATTTGTAATAATATGGATACAATTAGAATATTACAATGGCGTAATAAAAACATAAACATAGTTTATAAATATAACAAATCGTTATCAGACGCAGCACGCACACATTCTCATTTCCCAGAAACGACTTGTGTTGGTAGCCCGCTCAAATGCACAATAATTGCACAATAATAATTATTATTATATAATTATATTATTGTTATTGCAACAACCAGCTGCAGCGGGCAGCGACCTAGAGGCTAGAACCTATTATTATTCATTTTTAAATTGTATTTGGTATTTAATTACGTTTAAAGTTGTTAGTTTGTCATTAATTGTCGACAATTTTTAAATTTTTAAAATGAATTCTCAGTGTCCCAATTGTGGTAGAACACGTGATTCACTGAACAGCACTAATTGGACTCGACATAAGGAATCTTGTAAAAAAAAGAAAATTCCTGTGAAAAGAAAAATTATTGCTTCTAGTTCTATTTCGGACTATTTTAAATGTAACGAACGTGCAGAAAAATTTCAAAAATTTGAACAATCACGTAAGTACCTATTGAATGTCGTATATTATTGTATATTCGTATGATGCTATGATGTTCCAATCTGCATTTTCTATAATGACTATAAATTATAACAATACTATTGAGATGGAGTATGGACTTAATTTAGTCAAATTGTAATATATTGATAGCAGATATTTTATTTAACAGTTTCCAATTATTTAAGTTAATTAATCCTCATTATTCATATTTTAAAGAAAATGTGATTTATGAAAATAAAGTAATTGATGATTTGGAAATACCTATACTTGGTCGGTCTGGTACATCAGATGAGGCAGATGAACAATGTCCTCTACCAGCTGGTGAGTAATCATGTTTCTTTAAGTTTTAGTTAGCATTTTGCCTAATACATTTTTTGTAATATTAATTTACCTACTACTAAAGTTAAATTCTTCATCAGACTCGAGGGGTAAATACCTGACAGAAGTTTTATACACCAGATTACTGATTTCAATGAATATACCTATGATTACCCATGATTCACTACAAAGATTACCTATGATTACCTATGATTACCCATGATTACCCCTATGATTACCATCACCTTGTACACTGATTACCCCCAAGTTTTTTACCCCTCGATCAGACTTCATTTATTATTATATGATATTCATGCATTCATTTTTTTTTTAATGTTTAGTTAACGATTTGATGAATAACATTGACTTTAACAATGATCCCGCTATGATGAACTCCAACGTATCAAATGAACTTTTTGTTCATTTTGCATCTCTAGAACCTTGCCAACCTTCCAAATCACAATTAAGTGGTTGTACATTTCCTACAAGACAGCAAGGTGATCGTTTAAGATCATTTCATGAAAAATATTATTTTAAAGAAATTTCACCTGGACATTTTGTGAAACGTAGCTGGCTTTCATATTCACCTTCTACTGACCGCATATTTTGTATAGTTTGTAAATTATTTGGACTACCAAAGGGAAAATATGATCAATTTTCAAAACTTGGAACAAATGACTGGAGGCATATTTCATATAAAATCAAAGCACATGAAGCTGCACCTGAGCACTTACAGTCTGAAATACGCCGAGTTATGTTTAAAAGTCAATTAAGAGTTGATGTGCAGCTATTATCCGCATCAAATACGCAGGTGGCAGAAAATAGAGAAATTGTTAAAATCATTTGTGAAGCTTTATTGTACCTAGCTCGCCAAACTAATGCATTTCGAGGTCATGATGAACACTGGAGTTCATCTAATCCAGGTAACTTTCTAGAACTTGTCAAACTTTTAGCTAAATATAATCCTTTGCTGTCTGCTCATTTATCCAAGATTCAGAGTGCCAAAAAAAAACAGATTAACTTTTTTGTCAAATGTTAGTCAAAATAATATGTTAAGTGTCATGGGTGAAATGGTACGAGAAGAGATTTTGAAGAGGGTGAGGCAAGATGGTGTATTTTCAATAATTATAGACACAACTACAGATGTCTCAAACTTAGAGCAATTGTCACTAGTCCTGCGTTTTATTAATGAAGAAGGTCAAACTGAAGAGAGGCTTACTGCTATGAAAGTAGCTCATGATTCCACAGGATTAGGAATGTTCAATGTTTTTTGTGATATTTGCATTAAATATAATATAGATTGGGAAACAAAACTATGTGCTCAATCTTATGATGGAGCTGCATCAATGCAGGGACAATATTCTGGTGTTCGATCATATGTCCAAGAAAAAAATCCAAATGCTATTTACGTTTGGTGTTTTGCACATGTTCTAAACTTGGTTGTTGTTGATACATGTGATAAATGTTCAAGTGTTAGAAATTTCTTTGGAGAAGTTCAAAGTTTGATTACATATATGAGAGCAAGAAAACGAACAGCCTTATTCTTAGAGCAACAAACTAAATGCTATCCTTCTGAAAGACCATGTAGAATAAAGAACTTCTCTACCACTCGTTGGACTTCGCATGGCCGTGCATTATCGGTAATAAATAAAAAGTACTTGGCATTTCTAAAAACCTTGGAAGAGTTAATTCAACTGCTTCAAATCTTTACAGAATAATGACTTCATTCAAGTTTATTTTGAATTTATTTTTAATGGAAAATATCTTTTCTCATACTACTCCATTATCAATTTATTTGCAATCTTCATCTATTGATTTCATTCAAGCAATCACTATGGTAGATGTTTGTGCTAAAAAATTATCTGATTTAAGAAATGAACAGAGTTTTAATGATTTAATTACAAAAACAAAATCATTTGTTAATGAAATTGGATTAGTTGAATGTGATTTGCCAAATATACGTAGCCGCCGTAGGAAGCTGTTGCCTGGAGAAGTTGTTTCTGATGAAGTAATGACAAATCCTTATGACCAATTTAAAATTGAAGTTTTTTATGTAGTATTGGATCAAGTAAATACTTCTATTATAAGTAGATTTGAAGGTGCTCGAGGTATATTGTCTAACTTGTCATTATTAACTTTTGATCGATTAAAGGCAACTAGCGAGGGAACAGAAATTTCCGACGATCATTTCATTGCGCTAAAAAATTGGATTCCTAGTCTAAGTCTTGATAATTTGAAAATGGAATATTCTATATTTGCAAGTAGTTTTATAAAATTGTATAATGGTATGGATTTATCCAGTATTCGCACAAATAATGAACTTATTATCGAAAGTGAAAATGAAAATAGCCCTGATTCTGACTCTCCAAATGAAATGGATGA